AAAACAGTGTTTCAGAATAAAAAGTTTCGGTTTAATTTTTTAGGAGCCATTTAAATTCAATATAATGAATGATGACTTAAAAAAATTTTACGTTACAAACAAAATGAGATTCCTCTTTAGTGTTGCCAGAGCTGAAAGAGAAAATTACAGAAAAGTAAAAAAGTTGTAAATCGGGGCATCCTGTGTAAATTTCATTTCATTTCATTTGTATTTGTCTAAAACTGAACCCTAGAAGTGACTATTAGTGGCTCTTAACTAACTGATTAACGAATTCATAATTATGTGTAAAGTTATATATCTGAAATAGAGAGAAAGATCGAGAAACAACTTTTAAAAGTACATAAACATTGAAATTAATTTTTGAAAAAAGAAATAAAGTTACTTCGAAACTGCTGCGAACGACCGGAGAACAAATATAGGAAAAACGGTACCGAGAAATTTTCGATTCGTTCCTAAGTTGACTTATGATTTATTTTCTATGGCTGGCAGCGACATTTTCGATCATCAATCTAATGTTCGGTGGCTTTCCTTAGATATAGACGAGACGTTGACAACTGCCGCGGTGCAGTGCTGGAAAGTTCGTAGTCGCCAATCGATGGCGACGCCGACGGTGACGCCTGTTGTGACATCGATGTCGATCTCATTGAGACGTCAGCAAAGAACACGATCCATCCGAGAACTTTGTTACAAAAGAATAAAATTAGTTGACTGTTTCGTTTCGGTTCTGTTTTCACCTAATATTTTTCAAAATTATTTTACAATCAAAGTAATATTTCTTCTGTTTGATGACCTTACTTTGTTTAATATCTATATCAGGAAACAGGGACTAGTGGTGCCATTTCCGATAACTAATATTTGTGAACAGTAATAAGATCTAGGTTCTTTTCTACCCCTTTTTACTCTTGTTTCTGCTTCGAATGTGACATCATCATCATCTTATTGACTTCTACAGAGGTCTCAATTCAACTCCTTTCAATCATCCTCCTAAACACCACCATCATCGCCATCTCAAACATTTTTTTATTTCCGGTGCCGCGCCTACCGTGCACGTTTTTCAAGCCAAACAAATTGATGTTTCGGTTTGCTTTTTTTTTAACCTTTGACCCATGTTATCTATCACTTTCTAACCATTAATTCTCTTTGGTTTAACTTTGATTATCTATTATATGTACTCGTTTATTATGCGTTTTGTGAATAGTATCTATGAATCTACATAGTCAGTTCTCTTGCATACGAACTTACAGTTCTATTAACGTCTTAATAAATTACTCGCATTGAAACAAATGCTTCTGGTGGCAACAGCAACGTTCCCGGATTTCCGCTGTTTAAGTTGTCAAGGAATCGCACACAGAATAATCGCTCACTGCGATGAAATATTCATTTAGTAAAAGTAATTTTTCTTTCCTTCCGAGATCGTATCGTATTGTGAAGAAATGCAAACATAATTGCAGATGTTGGCATTAGCAGCTTTTTCTTGTAAGTGTATGCTTCCCGATAGAATTAATATTTATATATTATAACTATTATATCCAACTCAAGTTAAAAAAAAAAGTAACGTGTTCGTAGGAGGTGTAGTTACGAGATTGAGAAAACGCCAAGAAAATGATAAAGAAATGAATCATTACATCATTAACTCAGAATTAGATTCTAATTAAAGAATGAAATATGTAAATTTTCGTATTTTAAATTGTACGTTTTTATTATAGAATAGTTGCTTATCAATAATAACGATAAATAGTATGAAAAAAGTTGCACAGTGAAATTACATTATAAAGAATTTTTTTTTAATTTTATTTGGAAATATCGAAAACTTTAAATCGTCGACGTCAATCAAAACACTTAAGGTAAAGAAAGTATAATGCAAAATCACGCGATTCTTAACTATAAGGATTGTTATAATCGTTTACTACAAAAATATATCTAAATTAAAACATTAACTTCTTGAGTTTGATGGGTTTTTTTCGCTAGAGCAGATTCCCAAAGAGGCCTATTTCGACTTCTAGTGGTTGCCTACGAATTCAAGGGGTTCATGTCAACGAAAACACATATTGGCAGAATAAATCCAATTCGAACATGTACTGACTTAAAGTTTATTTTAAAAGTAAAAATGTTTGAAGCAAATTTTTATTAAACATGATCAAAATTTGGGGCTACATTTGAAGTTGATAAATTTATAACCAATTCAATATTAAATAGCCGGAGCGGGGGGTCTATTCAAAATTTATTAAATCGTGAAATAAATGACTTGGCATTTGATTAAAATTTTCCCTACTACCTCCTTACAACGACTCTCTTGTCCTTAAATCGGAAACTAAATTATTTGAATTTTCCAGTCAAACAAGTTAGTAGTTTGGATTCTACAACGGCATGTTAGTATCATTACAATTAGTGAGGTTGGGTTAGGTTGAGTTAGCTTAAATTGTGATATACTACTAGTTACTCGATACTAACCAATTTGCTTATGCGGGACAGCATTGGGTAGTGATGAGAACTAATTAACTAATCAAACTAAGTCAAAAATCAAATTATTGATTGATGGATCTTCCTTGATAAAGCCTTTACATGAAAAGGTTAAATAATGGTGTTGGTTTAGGAAATAAAGTCTTTTTTATATCTATTTTGATTCTACATTCCATGATTGTCTTATTTTCTGACAGTTGGAAAAAAACATGTATTCATGTTTACAGGGGTCATGCTACCGTCAGAGACATCCGAAAATTAAGGACGAATTCTAGTACCTAATGCTCCCGCGGATATATTAGCATTTTAAAAAATAATTAGAGGAAGAGTGTGACATTATTTATCGTAGCTTATAAATTGAAGAAAAGATTGATACGGATACCGCTCCCGGACTAATTGTTTTCGTAAGGATATTTTAAGATGATTTTAGTTGATAGACGAATGGCAACGGAGGCACGTGAACTTGCTCTTTCATGATCAGTGTTGCGCGAAGGCAGCAATTTCTCGGTGTTTTTAGGGACGCATTGAGCGAAACAAAACGACAAGAATTGAATTTCCTTCAGACGGATAATTCCAACTTGACATTTGAAAAGGTCAGTCCTGCATTGGTAGGTAGATGGATGGATGACTAGTGCGGCAATAAAGCAACTAACCCCTACACTGCACTTGAATAGCTTCGGTGTTTAAGAAGGGCGAAGACCTAAGAACTTATTAGAGTAATTATGCACGTGAATACCGCGACCGCGCGACGACACGAAATACCAACAACGGTATAAGCATTTATAATCCTCTGGCAAGATTATTTTTCAGTTTAACATAACTAATCTCTTTATAAATTAATCTTATCATTAGTTTACAGTATAACAGTATTAGCATCTAACAAGGAGTTAGAGATAGCATTAAATAAAATGGAAGCGGTATTGACAAAACAGTACTGTATGAAAATAAACAAAAATAGTGGTATATAAGGTAAGAAAACGTAGGGAAAGAGCCAATATAAAAATAAGGGACGAAAAATTAGAAGAAGTGACTGAGTTTAGCTATCTAGGAAGTCAGATAAGTTAGGGCGGAAGGAGTAGTAAGGATATAAAGCAGAGGATAGCGCAGGGTCAAGTCGTCTTTAATAAAAAGAAGTCACTTCTATGCTCGCGAACGGTTAATTTAGAAATTCTAACAGGTTGTTAAAGGTGTATGTTTAAATCGCGGCTCTGTACGGGTGCGAACTATGGACAGTGGGCGCTGCGGAAAAGAATAGCTTAGAAGCGTCCGAAATGTAGCGTTACAGGCGAATGTGGAGGATACCGTTGATAGAGAAGGTTAGAAATGAAGAGGTATTAAAAAGAATAGGAGAACAAAGGACTCTATGCAAGTCAGTAAGAAATAGACGAGATGGGTTGATAGAACACCTTCTCAGGCATGAAAGTCTAGTCAGAGACATATTAGAGGCAGAAACGGGGGTTAGGAGGGGTAAAGGCAGACCTACATTAGATTACTATTCGCAAATAATTAAGAATTTGGGTTGTTCAAGTTTTAGGGAAATGCAAACATTAGCTCAGGATAGGGAAGAGTGGAGGCGCGTGTCCAACCAATCTTAGGTTAGGACTGACGATCTTGTGATAATGATGACTAGTTTAGTATAAAGAGTAAAATTATAGTGTCTCCCTTACATTAGTTTTTTCCTTAATATTCAAATGAATGAAAATTGCAATTTCTAAAAAAAAATGTTTTAGGTGCACAAACGTAACTGTTTTATTTAGTCCTAATTGTCTGGGTTTCGATTATTTATTTAAACTATAGCGTCTGATTGATATTTGACCAATGTGTTTTACTTAACCACATCATCTTCATAAGATTATCAGTTCAAAGACTGGTTGAATATGGACCTCCACTTTTTTTTGAGCCAATATTCGCATTTCTCGAAAACTACATCTTTAATTATTTTCGAATAATAATGCTACCTAGGTCTTCCTGTGCCCTGTTTAACACGTATTTTTGCTTCTAATATGTCTCTGACTACCTTTTAATATTTGAAAAAAAAGTTTAGGTGACCAAACTATCTTGTTGCCAACTTTTTCTTCCCTTTTCGCGGCGGCCACTGTCCACGTTTTTTCCATTTTTTATTTATTTGTACATTTTGACGGAAGTTGAAATCGACATTTTTCTTATATTCTGTCAATGGATAAATTTTATAGTGCTTCTTATTGTAATATTAACTCATGCTTTAAGTACCTAACGTAAGTAAATGCACAAGATCTCCTACGTTTTCGTTACGTTAAATGATTTACCTATTATCAGAATAACTCGCTATCAATTTCACAAGTACTCATATGTTGTTTAGGTTGCGGAAAGGCCTGTCGTTGCAGTAACCATTACACACATACATACACGTTACCCACAACGAACATTGGATGACGACCACTCAGCATTTATCGCTTGTTTTTTTGTATCGAAACAATAATGACAGTGAGACAATAAGCCCGAAGAACAATACTTATAATATGTCTGGAGGCTGCACAATGAAAATAACAAGTATCGCTTACCTTTAATTTTTTGTTCGTCAGCCAGTTGTCTTTCGAGACTGTCTTTCACCTCCCTTTCGCGTAGAACGTCCATCTTGAGCTCCGCTGGAACAACAAAAATAATAATCAGCACGAGCGTTTACAAAAGGTACTTAAGCACACGCGGGACTTAATTCAACACACAAACTAATACGAGACTACGAGACCCTTTATAGATCATTAAAATGTTAGCGATACATTCGGAGAAAATAAGTTCCATCTTCCATCTGAACAATATTTAATAGATATCAGAATTGAACTTTAGTCGATTTGATTATTTGTGAGAAGCCAAAAAGTCAGGGATCAAAAAGAAAAAACAAGGGTGTTCATTTCTAACATAAGTTGTGACGTTGACTCCGTATCAGAATTGTCTAAGAATTTCAAGATATCCTAATCTCAAAACTCAAAGAGTGCGATATTTTTGCCTTTTTGTGAGCATCACTAAGTAAAGTAAAAGGTCAAAACAGCTAATAAGGTATTCATTTTTGAGGTGACCTTTATCGCTGAGTTAGAATCTGGGCTAAGAATTAACCTTCCATTTGAAGAGTGAAATATATAATCCCAAAATTTATATGATGCTAAATTGGCTTATTAATTTCATGATTACGGTTCTCAATATTTCAAACTCTTAGAGCTTTTCTGGGCCAGATACGAGTTCCCTCTTTTAAACCTACATTGAAAATGACTCCCCTCGCATTTTTTTTTATTTTAACAGCAAATTCTTTTTTGAAAGCCTTTCTTTTTCAAGAATCAAGTTGAAGAAAATTAGACTCAAAAGAAAGGTAACCAATTTCCATGTAAATATTCTTCAACAGCGAAATCGAATCTGTCGTAAAAAAGCTCTAACATTGAAGAACCCATATCAATTTATTAAATTTTTGGTTCTTGAGTATATAAGGTCCAATTTATTGTATTGTTTTTACTTTAGATTCGCAACAAATAGCAATTATGTCGTCAGATTTTTACTGCCGCGGAGTCTTTTTAATGGTGCAGCAGGTGTGCAGTGATTTATGCCAGTTTAATTACTTTTGCTGTGTGTTTTACGCGGGGGTGGGATGTACCTAAAAAGACGTTGTTTGCCGTCATCTCATCTAATACAAAGAAATTGATTCATTGCAGCTGCAGAGCACGCTTGGCTTCAAATTCACTGACTGCTTTCTTCCGCCACTTGCTGCTGAATGCCAGCCATTTATCATCGTCGTTTTGCGGTTGATAAAGATTTAGATACATTTTCTTCCTTTCATCCCGCTAATTTGAATGAGCGCGGGGAAAATTCGGATTATCATTCCTTCATTATTTATTTTCTTTGCCTCGTATCGCAGGGAAGTAGATATACTTTCGCCGTTTTTTTTTCTTTTTCAATTAACGATCCTTGCCACGAGGAACGACGGAGACCATTATTTCTGTCTGAAAGCGAAGCATCTTTTGCCTTACAACATCTCACGACCAACTTACACCGAAACTGCATAAAACGACGAGAAAAATGGAGCGCGAGAAAATTGGAAAAAATGAATACCTACATAATTTATACTTTTACAAAAACAAATGGTGACACGAAAAATAAAAACCTTGATTAAATCGTATTTTCACCCAAAATCGGATTAATGTATCTATTATACATAAGCACGTTTCCACAAATTTTTTCTAAGAAAATTCCAATGAAAAAAATCCTTTTAATATCTAATATTTGATTATAAACTTTTGACAAAGACAGCTTTAGAAATTTCATTGCCATTTGTAACATCTTACCTATGTGAAACTGGTTTTTCTACAGTAGCTGCCTTAAAAACAGTGTATCGATCTCGCTTAGTGATTGAAAAGGAACTGAGAACCGCGATTTCTTTAATGATACCACGGTTTGAGAAAATTTGCGCTGAAAAATAAGCTCAACCGTCGCATTAAATTTTTATAATGTTGTAATTGTTAGACAAAATTAAGGGGGCGCAACAATTTTTTTTTTAAGGGGGGCGCAGGTACAAAAAGGTTGGAAACCACTGTTCTAGTGTCTCTGTTTTATGTGTGTTTAACTTATCATCCACTAGGAGTCATGCTACATCTCCTCTAGCCAAATTCTAATTTCAATTTTGGACATTCAATCACATTCTACTATAGAAGACATCGGTACTGTACATATTCATTTGTTTTGGTCTACGGCGAATGTGAAGACTGTACCTATATGTACAATTAGTGCAAAATTGCTTATCTTGATCGATCCGATTGTACGTTGTGTAAAATATTTGAATAGTCAGTTTTGTTTAACTTTTTCTTTTCCATAACTCTATATGATATATATGATTGTTGAAACATTTGCGAATCGAAAATTCACCTCGCTTAATGCCAAAACACATTCTTTCGTCGTCTTGCCTCGTCCATAAAGAGGTGATTGCGTGATGCGAAATAAGGAAATATCAAGGAAGAAGGAATAAAATCTTGTTAGGTACTCCTGCTTTACGAGATGCACTTATCATAAGTTACAACTTCTATTTGCATATGTAACTACGTGAATCTCGTTATATTCAGACAAACGTAGTGGTGCTACAAAAGCATAAAGTAGTCGAGGGTTGAGTTGTCATTGTGTTTTCGTGCTCTCGTGTTGTATTAGCTACGTGTTTGTAGTGAAGATACCATCATGGCCTCGTCGTCAAATAAAATTTTAATTTAATGTATTATTCATCTAGTTTGAGATTGTGAAGAAGGAATTCTATACGGAATGAAAAAGGACATAATACCGAAAGTATCGTATATACCTGTATATACATCAGTAAAAATGCAGTTTACGATACCTTCTTGAAGTTGACTTCGAATATTGTAATGTTGCCAATATAATCTATATGCTTAAAGCCAATAGAAAATGCCTACAGTAGAGCAAGCAACTGTCACGCTGACTATCACTTCGTTCGTGTTGTCCTTTCCTACCGTAGCCTGATGATCTTAAACATCAAGGCGGGTCCCAAAACCTCTCTCAGCTGTTCAAAAAGAAGGACAAGTGAGCTGCTGTACTCAGTTCTTTTATCCCTTTGTGAAGGCTGACAAAAAGAAGTTTTGGAGTCAATTCAACTATGGTTCTACGGTTATGAAAAAGGTAATCGACGGAGTTGCGATATGCTATTACAGGAAAAACGTCGAGCGAAATTGCGAGGAGTGTTGTTGCTTTATGCCAATAAGGAATTCGATTTCATTAACTCGATCGTCCACCAAGCAGTCCCGACTTGGCCCCAAGTGACTATTATTTATTCTCAAAATTAAAATCGATCTTGCGAGGAAAAAATATTTATCAATGATGATGAGGTGAAGTCAGCAGTTTTGTCACATTTAGAAGGCAAAAATTCAAACAATTCTTTAAAGGGTATAATATAATATGTTAGGAAAGCGCTATGAAAAGTGTATTGAAATAATGGGAGACTACATTGAAAAATAATAATAAAATAAATATATAATTATATAGTTCAGGCCAAAAACTTTTGGATCTTACTATGTACATGTAATATGTATGTGTACAGAGCGGTTGTGTATCACAATAAGATGATTCAACCACAAACGGCTTGCCGGTAATGTATAGTGTTAGTTTTTTATCGTCATCTTAGCCGAGAGTTTTTTATTTTTTTTTATTCTATAACTTACAAAAAGGTTTCACAATGAATTTACCATAAACTGAATTAATTTCAAACAGATGTGTTTAATCCTAACGCTGTAAAAGAAAATCTTTAATTTCTATTTTGTGGATAATTTATATAGAGCCTTAGTAGACTAGTATAAGCCCGCTAAATTAAGTTTATATACTGTTTCGTTTACAAAGTTTTTTTTATTATCCCTTGAAGTATTAAAACAGCGATTATTTCCTTAAAAAAATGGTAAACGTTATACAATGATTTAAATAGGGTTGTGAGGTCTTGTTTAGAGCGATTAAATTAAAAAAACAAGATCCGTTCTACATGTATTCCATCAGAAAACAAAAGGCAGTAATCAAAATATCTATACAACTGAGTGTTTCTTTTTCTTCTTTGAAGAAAATGTGAATTTAGTTGGATAATGTGATCTCGATATTACTTTAACGTTTTTGACATTCAAGTAACTGGTGTTTGTTTTGAGTTTACACCCTCTAATAGGGTTTCTGCTGATTGTGAAATTTCTAGTATATGATGAAAGAACGTTTACGTATATTGGTTATGGTTAAGAGGAAGTGTTGTATTTCTCGTAAAATATACCTAATCTGCAAGATCTTCTCGTGAGGCGCGATGGACTTCCTGTTACGTTATACGAGTTCGACTCGTATTCCATAAACCTGAAAGACTTTAACAAGTTATAGTTTATGTTTAAACGAGGAGAAAAACACTAACCGAAAGCCAAAAATCTTCATATCTAGTACGTGTCGCGAAAGGGTTATTTGCTGTGCAAATGGGTCGTAATTCTCGTCCTGTAAGTACCCAGTAATAACAGTAATTTTCTCTTTATATTTATGATTGTGGAAGCAGCTGTTTAAAAGTAATTGGATTCCTTTTCCCGTTTTAACTTGGCCGTTTGAAATATTGATATCAGACGAATAGCTATTTCCGTAACGGCGTTTTCTTTAGATGAAAAAATAATAAAAGCGTCCCCCTTTTTACGATAATGTTCGTCGGTTAAATTTTTTCGCCGTAATCTCTTTACGCTGATTTATCATAAAGTCCGCGGTAAAAGTTGCAGTTTCGTTATAATTGCGGATTCTGATATTAGCAATAAGCTGATTTTTTATTCACCCAATCTCTTATCACCCCCAACGCGAGAACAATAGCTAATCCAACGGACCCCTCGCCGTCGTCGGGACTTTTTCCTTCGTTCGAAGTAGTCAGTTTAGCTCGCTCGAGGTGGTCCATTCTGCCGCAGCCGCCTTAAGAGCCTTCCTTGAACGGCAACAATATGCCAGTCATAACCGTTGTTGGACTCGAAATGGGAAACTCCGCGAGGCATCTCTGCATATTTAATAATTGGTAACAGAAGTCGCCAACTTTTGATGACTTGATCCAATTAAACATGAATAATTTAGTCCGCTACAAGACACTACCACGTGTAATTGATACACTCCTCTT